TGGCATATGAACACAGGTGTATTCGCGCGTAACACACATTGAACTGCATGGAACACTTGTAAAAAGTCTTCCGCCAATCTATGGCCCTGCTGTCTCGCCAGAGTGCACGACGTGGTCTGTCCCGACAATTCCAGGCCAGACATGTTGCCTTAACCACCGGTTTTGATTGCGGTTGGCCTTGGACGCCTCCCTCTGAGGGGGGTGGAAGTGACCTCTTGACACGCGATTTTGTCGACTAGGTGTGCCATGCAGTGATCCGGACACCAGGTGCTTCAATGAGGTTGATCGGGGGCATGGGTGATGGCAGCTGAAAGGACTTCATGCAGGGGGCAACTACTCTTTAGTGTGCGATTACTTTAATTCTTGGTGGTGCCAAACTACTAATTTATTCACACCACACGACAGAAAGTAAAACTTGTGTCTTTTTCCGCCCTACAATATTATTTCAGATTACGCAGATAACCTGCGTACCAGTTATGTGCACCCCTGTACTACAGCAAAAGTATTCTCCGTCGGGACTTCCTGCAACAACACCACGCCGTTACCTTGATTCTGATTGGCCAGAAGACATTATCAAAGATGTTCTATTGGGAAGACGATCACTACGTGATAAAAGTTTTCGTTTCTGGTCTTTGGTATTTCCAGACAACTGGCTACTGAAATCAATCTTACTAACTGCTGTCTGTGCAATTCTCGGCGCGAGTTGGCGGACTTTATTTTGCTTACTTTAACATCATTTTTCATGGTGGGGCTAAGCCATTTCTTGGTATGGGTGTAGCCTACCCCAGCCATACCCTGGCGCTGCCACTGGTGGGATGTATGGGGCGGGCCATTCTGCACATGCGTTAAATACGTTAAATATTTTTAACGCAATTAATTCAAAAAATTAATTACCGCCGTTAACGCGATAATTTTGACAGCATTAATATAAATATATGGAGCTTAACTTGCCAGGGGAAGACATTAACCCTTCGACAGTCATCCTACTGGTATGATGACATTTAGTCTGTGATACTACGATAACAGGCCAACATTTTTAAACAAATAGGTAAGGTAAAATAATTAACGCAGCCATGCCTTTGTGTAAGATTTGTTTTGGCAGAGTTTGAAAACAGATGTCTATAATTAACATAACAAATATGTATGTATTTACCATTAGACTATTTGCTGATTGTCTATCAAATTAATCAATTCAATTAATACAACCTGTAAGCTCAAGTATCATAGAATTTTCCAAGTGGGTGTTTCAACACTTGATGCGATTTATATTTTACAGTAAATCCAACTGATAAAAACCAGATTATTCCACCATTAGTTTAGGTCTCAGTGAGGAGAATCCTCTGTTATCCACTTTGTTTGGTGAGGATGATCATTAGTGCTCTGAGGGAAATTCTGTTGTAGGCCTCATCTTCAGCTTATATGTACACTTTATTATTGTTGAAGGACTTGTGTACTGTTAGTTTGCATGTTTCAACCATGGCAAGCATCTCAACTCAAGGAAAAACATGTTGCTGTGTGAACATTCAGAGTATCGGGGCAGTGTTACCATGGCTCCGTCATCCCGGGCCCTGCGTATGTTCTGTCGTCCGTCCAGCCAGTACACCAGGCGGTCCAGAGGGTCGTAGCTGACCGCCCGGACGTTCCTCAGCACGTGGATGGGCAGGATGATGTCCGGACTCTGCTCTCCCAACACCATCCTGCTGATGCTGGCCTTCTGACTGAAGAGCAGGAAACTGGAGGGGGCTGCAGACAGAGGGGCAGAGAGGATGTGTGAGAGATGGAGAAGAGAACACAGTGTTTTTTATTATGGCAGTTTGCCATATGCATCTTGTGAAATACAAACACGCTGGTTCAAAACACAGAAGGCAAAGTCTAAACACACACAAACACACATCATCCCATCAGAACTGCTAAGACTGCTCTGAGGGTCCCAAGAGCTGAGGAAGAGTATTCTGTGTGTATGTTTTATACATTTTTGTGGCTTGGTGTGTGTGTGAGACTGAGATCGGGAAAGCTGAAAGTCTGCAAATCTTCTGCTTCAGACTGAAAAAACACTTGTTTCAGCTGCTTCTTGGCAACAAATAAATATATATATGTTCACTTATGCTTATATTTTACACTTAGAAAGGTTTGGCTCAGTTGAAGCCAACGCAGAAGCATTAACAATAATTTGACTTATTTAAAGCTAAAGTACTTAGGATTATTGCTTGTTTAAAATGGTATCTGGTCACTTTGGATAAAAGCATAAACTAAATCAAATGTAATGCAATGTGTGTGTAGACCTTTGCATAATGTTTGCCAGCTGTTTGGAAAGAGGAAGCTGAGGTTATTTACTTAACCTAGTATTTTATTTCTGTTGCAAACTCTCTGCAATTATTTGAATCACAGCTTTAGTTTGAGAACATCAGTTCAGTATTTTACTGACCATTTCAACTGACACTTGGAGTAGACTTATTAAAGGAGGGGACGTTTCTTTCCCCGATGATGTGATGCAAACACAGGTATGGTGAAAAAAGAGAGAACTATTCGAAGCAGAAAAAAAACTGTGTAATATACCACCTGACAAAGGCCTGTGCTATAATGCTTCAATTAACTGGCTATTCTTTATAATATACTCAGATCAATAGGAGACAGAGATGTTAAGTTATAAATCAAGGGTTTTTATTATTATTTACAGCAGTGATGGGGCATCTTTTTCCTTTCAATTTTTACAACATCCTCCGAGGGCCGTACAAATTATTGAACTCAACCTCTGCTTAAAAAAATAAAATCACAGCCCATTCATTTCGCCTTTCTTTCATGCTGTGCAAAGAAAAACCAATCTCTTAATCCAGGTATCTCACCATGACTCACGTATGCATGCATGTGCACGGTTGTGGCATGACCACCAAAACAGAAAGATATGGACACAAGATGTGTGTAAATGTATTTAGTATCCTATCCATGTGAACATGATTTAAGTGTGGGGGGGGGACCTAACCTCCTCTAGGGGGGGTCCGGGGGGCATGCTCCCCCATAACGAAAACTCTTCGGTTCTCCACGAATTACATAAGTCACCCAAATCAGCGTTAAAAAAAGCGGGAGGCGCCGAAAAGCGACTAATTTGCATCACTGTTTCCCGTATTTACAGACAGAAAACATGCTTGAGTTTCTCTCCTCTTTACTTACAGCTGCAGTTCCGTCCGTCGGGGTTCAGAGTGTAGTGGGAGGCGCAGCGGCACTGGGCCCCAGCGGGCGTGGCCAGGCAGAGATGGGCACAGTTACCGTTGTTATGGGAACACTCGTTGGTGCCCTCCTGACGGGAGGAGTGGAACACCAGGATGTCCAGCATCAGCTCCAGCTGGCCCTGACGACAGTGAGGGAACAACCGTGAATGCCTTAAATATAGTGGTGGGAAGTAACAAGGTACATTTACTCAAGTACCATACTTAAGTACTATTTAGACATAATTGTATCTTATTTGAGTATTTCAATTTTATGTTCTATAATTTGACTCCACTACATTTTGGAAGCAAATATTATACTTTTTAGTCCATTACATTTTTTAACACTGAAACTACTAATTACAGAACTGTACTACTAATATATAAATACTACCTAAAATTGGCTCCTCATTGACAAATTACTATATCAACTAGATCTGCCATGTGTTTGTTAGTGATAAAAAACAGGATAATATAATATTCTATGATAATATAATACTTGTAATGAAATATTTTAGGACAATGTTATTAGAAAGTACTTTTTCCAGCAAAAACATTCCCCTCATATAAAATTAACAACCCAACTGTTTAAGTGTGTCCCCCAGATTTTAAATACAAGTTTTGAAAGAGCACGTAATCAGCAAATAATGGTAAAAGACATATTTAAGCTAATACCTGCAGCACCACAGTGCGGTTGAGTCCACTGCGTTTGTCTGCCCGCTCGATACTGCGCAGGTTAAAATCGGTCCAGTAGATAAAGTCCCGGTACTGGGTGAGGCCGAAGGGGTGAGGCAGGTCGTCCACGATGATCTCCCTCTGAAGCCCTGCACAACATACCACAACATGATTACCCCTGCTCTTCAATATCAAAACATCAAGCAACGCTTACATCATCCTTAGGGATTCGTATACACGTACACGTAGTTTATCTGTGTTTACAACATTACACGCAGCTAAACTTTAACTGAGTTACCTCGTCAAAAAGCAATGGGATTTATTCGGAAAATAGCATTTAAAAACAGTCATTAAAAAGCAAAGATAATAAAATAAACATTAAAAGAAAAAATACATGAATAAAAGTTACAGTGCAGTTTAAAATATGATCCTTTGCTCTTTACACTAATTTCTTGCCCTATTCTTCGTTTTTCTCCTTTCCGATAGGGTCCCCGACTCCTATTTTAAACACTTCGATAGGGTCCCCGACTCCTATTTTTAACACTTCGATAGGGTCCCTGACTCCTATTTTTAACACTTCTTAGGGTCCCGGACACCTAAACCATGTGCACAATTGTTAAAAGCAGCGGCAAAAAGATAAGTCTTCAGTCTGGATTTAAAAGTAGTCAGAGTTGTAGTGGACCTGCAGGTTTCTGGGAGTTTGTTCCAGATATTTGGAGCATAATAACTGAACGCTGCTTTACCATGTTTAGTTCTGACTCTGGGGACAGAAAGATGACCAGTCCCTGCAGACCTGAGAGATCTGGATGGTTCATAATTTAGCAGAAGATCAGAAATGTATTGTGGGCCTAAACCATTCAATGCTTTATAAACCAGCAGCAGTATTTTTTAAATATATTCTTTGACACACAGGAAGCCAGTGTAAAGACTTCAGAACAGGAGTGATGTGATCCTCTTTCTTAGTGTTAGTGAGGACTCGAGCAGCAGCGTTCTGCTGAAGTAGACTTTACAAGTGTTTGTTGGTCATTCGGCTTTAGATCCACATCAGTACCTTCAGCGGCTGGACCTCCAAAGTTGTCAGTGTAATTTTGTCAATGATTGTAGTCGAATGATAGTGGATTTCTTATATAGATCCTAATTTTCTGATTTACAGTGTCGTCCTAAACCTTTTTGAACAGGTACGAAAATATAGTCATCTGAGTTGATGAAATTACCCAGAACACTGTCAGATGATCTTTTTTGGATAATCTTTCGANGATTTGAAACCGTTGTTACATACAATTACGGCATTTCCTGTTTCTGCCGGAGAGAGGGGAGGCCGTCCCAAAGCTTGCCGCTGTATTTACTCCCTCCATCTGACAGGAGGGAGCCTAGTTGAGCTGTGAGTGTGGCTACAGACGGAGTTCATTTCGTCACGGAGGAGTAGGGTCGAGGGAGTGGTTTGGGATTGGGCCTATAGGCACGTTCACACCGCTGTACTTTTCCCACTTTAGTTCCGATATAGTTCCGAAATGTTGCGTTCACACCACTTTCGTGAGAGAAAAAGGTTCCTATGTCTGATTGGCTGGGAGGATTGCAAACTACGGCCCGTAAAACTCCCAAAAAGTGTTGTGAAGCCGCCATTTTATTATCCTCGTATTAGCATTATTAGCATTATCCCAGCGCAGAAATGCAGAGAGACAAAACATGGGAGCGGTGGAGATGAGGAGGTGTCAGCGTTCTGGCGATTTACTCGAAAGGCTTCAGTAGAAGCTGCTGGGAGTCCCAGCAGCTTCTACTGAAGCCAGTCCCCAACTCCGGGGACTTCTGGCCGGGGACTTCGGGCGGCAGTATACGCCGTGAAGTTGTTTGCGGCCTGCCAGTAAACCCAAAGCAGAAGAAGAAGAAGTGACGTCAGCGGCTCATTTGCGTAATCTTCCCTCAGGGAAAAGTACTCCGGTGTGAACGCGATTGGTACTTAGTGTCCTGGGGTTATAAGTGCTGAGGCACTAAGTGCCGGCACTAAGCACAGCAAAGCACTGCAAAGTACGTGGTGTGAACGCGGCTTTTGTTATGTATATGAGCAATTCGAATGGCTCATTTAGCAGGAACAGTAGAACAGCAAGCTGATCTGTTCAGCTCCACTGCAGGCTGACGGGTAGGCGTACCTGTTGGTGAAGAGCAGGAAGGCCTCCGGCACCACGCAGGTCTGCAGGTCCGACAGCAGCTCCATCCCCATGGGACAGGCACAGTTCACCGCCTGCCGACACCAGAAACACAGGTGGCTGCACCCGCCGTTATCCTCCGCACAGCCATTCGTACCTGCATTTAAGAAGGGAACGTTTTAACAACTATTTCATTCCGTTTCTACTCTTATTTTCAGTCTGAAACCTGTCCTCCTTACCATACGCCTCCATCACTTTTGTGGCCTTCAGGCCCATTAAGTCTGGCAGCTGATCGATGATGATCTCCCGCACAGCCGTGACTTTGTGCACCCTTTCGATGCTGCGCCTCTGCCAGTCAGTCCAGTAGATGTAGTCGCCCAGCAGAGTAAAACCAAAGATGTGAGGCAGTTTGTCCTCCAGCAAAATATGTCTGTTACTGCCGTCCACATTGATCACCTGAGGAGGAACAGAAAGAGAAAACCTTAGGAGACTTTTCTCAAGGATGGAGTTTATATTTATACTCATTCTTACACCCTTACATTCATAAAGAAAGCTATGAGAGATTATGATTTGATTTTAACAATTGTAAGGAAAAAAACAGGTCCTCTAATGTCCCAAAGACTGTGGTGACAACTTTACTGAATTGTCCTTGAGCAATAAATCCAATCTACCAGCTCAATGGTTGCTATTCTGTGGCTGACCTGACCTTTGACCTCCGGGGAGGGGACCTTTCCATCCAGAGAGTAATAAAGTGCACATATGATACAGAGACTGTGAAAGAGAAGTGCAGGAGGAAACAGGATGGGGAGAAATATTGACTGATGAGGCAGAAATCAGAAAACAGGAATATCCACAGGAAGGTATGTGTCCAAATGTGACCAAAAGAAACAGGACAAAATAATGGAAACACGAGCTGAGGAGTGATTTTCAGCAGAAAGGGCAATTCCATTCATTTTACCAATAACATATTTCTTTCTCTGCCAAGAACTGCCTATGTGAAAACCAGCTAAAAGTTCATCTTCACAGGTGTGTCGACCGAGAGGGACTTTTATGACCGAGAGAGCTCAGATTGACGAGTAGCATTTAGAAAAATGTTTCAAGGGGTTACTAAAAAGTGAAGCAAACATACATTCCCATTTCTATTTTGTACATCCTAAATTCCTTTCCTAGTCTCCTTCCATAACGAGAAAAGGAAAGGACCAGGAGAGAAAATTGTACTCTACCCCAGAGTCCTGCACGGGTCTGATTTTCAAGACCCGCTCCCGCCCTGCACCGTGCAATACCGAACCTGCCCCGCTACCCGCACATATTGCCAATTAGTTCCGCAACCCGACCCGTCGGCACAAGATCCGCAAACCGACCCGAACCCACATATCCTATGAGCAGTGAAAACATGCAATTATTAACACACGCAGTTGCGTATTTGTCTCAAAAAGCGTGGGATGTTGGTTATTTTCTCCATTTTGTGCTAACCCAATAACCAGCTATCTGTCAGATGCACATTTATTCCCCAAATCTGCACATGGACATGCACACACAAAAAAGCGCATAATGTATGTGTATTTGTCACCCTCTTCAATATAATATAAGTAAACTATTTCATTTGAGTATTTGGGTCTGGGAGAAGGTACTGTACCCAGTTCCTATGTTCGGCAGTAGATTATGATATGCACGGTCACCCGCGGGGTAGAGGTCTGAGGGATTTAAGCATTAAACTAAATTATTATTATTTTACTATATTTGCAACACCCGCAACCCGACCCGCATCATCTTTGTTTTACCCAGAACCGAACCCAGAAAAAAGCGTTTAAAAAAATACCACCCGCAATCACTTCTATTGCGGGTCACCCGTCGGGTACCCGCGGGTGCCCGACCCGATGCAGGACTCTGACCTGGAGAAGGAAGAAATGGGTCTTTGGGATGGTGGGAGTTAAAGACAAAAGGCGGAGACTAGTGTTGAAATTAGTGGAGAAACGATCAAGATGCACTTTGTCCTTCTGATTAGACGGCATGTTAAGTCACGAAGTAGCATTATTAGTGCTGAGTGGAGGGCATACAGGAGAATGCTGAGTAACATGGGGAACAACCACTACACCATAAACCACAGCAGGTGGTTTGTGAACCCCCAGACGGCAGTCATACCCAACATATAGAAAGAGCTTGGTCGACCGTCAAAGGACATGTCCGTAGACAGAGAGGAAACCGCACAGAGAGTTTGTTGGAGGAACACCTCAAGGTTCTTGGCTCTGCTCACCCTGATGGACTGCTTGGACGCTTGTTCAAGGATATACACAAAGCCTTTCCAGTCTGAATACAATTATGTCTTACCAAGTCTTTCATTTATGTCTGAGAAAAGCTTTTATGTTTAAATATGTGTATCAGTCATAAACAGTCATTACTTTGAGTCCTAATTTTCTTCATGTGTGAATAAAATGTTTTGCTTGGTTCTGTTGCATCTTACTTTGCATTTCATGTGAAAAATGTGTATTAGGTCAGCATGAATGTTATAACTCATTCATAAATAGACGTGTGTATTAAACTTAAAAACAACGCACCCTTTCAGTAGTTATAAATGTTAGTGACTCATCAATAGATGGTGATGTGTTTCACACTTTACAATAAGGCTCCCTTTGAACAATTATAAATGTTAGTAACTCATTCATAAATGAGTTATAAGAGATGCCAAGAAACATCAAGATGGAAGGGGGGAATCAACTCAGTGAACAACAGATACCAAGGATGCTGGCTGATGAAGAAGATTAAGTAAGCTAGGTAGCCAATATAAGGCTTAGCAGTACAGATAATTGTGGGCTCACTATTTGGCAAGCAACCGGTCACAGTTGACCTGTTTACCTCATGTCTTATAAAAGCTTATTAAGGATTTATAAAGTGTTCACAACCTAATTAATAAATGAATTACAAACTATTCGTAACCCCGTTTTAAGGGTAGTCTTATTGTAAAGTGGTACCGACTTTTCAGTACAAAGCAGTGAAGTTTGTTGATTTTTTAATGAACCATCAGGGAAAACACAGTGTACCGAGACAATTAGGCATTGTCTTAGTACCTCTCAAAACAGTGGCTTAAATTTGGCTCAACCTATGTGAGTAATACACTAATGTTTATAAGTGAGTACAATGAAATCATTACCATTAGAAATTATTTCATTGTCGCCAAAACCAATATATCTGAGTTTTAAACTGCATTCACAACACTGTTTTTAAAAGAGAAGAATGGACTCTGGAGGACTCTGAGAGGTGGCTAAGAGCTCCAGAAAACCCATGCAGATGGACCCTGAGTTAATGTGCCATATTCCTTTGGTGCATCCAACTCAAGCGCTGTCCAACAAAAAGATGAAGACCAGCAAACACAACCAGCAAACAGTCCCTGAGCACGGACTCTCCCAACGCCCAGAAGCTCAGACACACATATTTTTCTGTGACGAGATTTCCAGCTGAACAAAAACATAGTCTTTGAATTCACAAACCACCACAAAGCCCAACACTTTGAATCCTAACTCCCCAAGTTGGGAGCTCTCAGGTCCCAGCCGGCCGATTGGAACGTAGCCCGGTTGTCGGCAACATTTCAGCACCTTGGACAGCCACACAATAGCCAGCTGAGATCCAGCGGGGGGTGGAAGGAGGGGGGGGTACGAGACAAAAGGCAGAGGAGG